TGTGGAATAAAGGTAAATTATGTGAAAAATAATGTGTTTTTTAAAAAACGAAGTATGAACACATGTTACTGCACCCCATAAACACAATCAAACCTAGAACAAAACCAGTCAACCACCCCTTTAAATCATGTTAAAGCTGAGTGTGATTATTTACATTAACTTCTGTCAGGACCACTATCGTCAAAGATGATTGACAATTAGCATACAGTTTGGATTATCAAATCAAAGACTGCAATTTATTTTTAAATAAGTATACATTCTTTTGCGCTTAATACTGTAAATGCTATTTCTCACCAATCTCTGTGTGTGCACAGTTTAAAGTGCATTTTGGAACGCAATGTGCGCTAGGATCATTTACACATTTGCATAATTTCCAGCATTTCTGTGAATAGAATTTGGCATTTCACCAATATTTTGCCAAAATAAAAGCTTGAAGTTTTGAATGTTTGAAAGTGAAGAATTTAAGACATACATATTAGCATTGTAACTTGCAGTGTGATATAAAATAATTATTAGGCCTATAATTATCTTTTTAAAATTACTATTTTACAGGACAATTGTAATTTAAACAGTAATATATTTATATGTCTTCATTTTTGTAATTAGAGTCATAATAATACTAATAATAATAATAATACTAATAATAAGCCCTTTATACATGCAGTCCCATATATGAGTAATTTTAAAATAAAAACATTAAAACTAAAACATTAGGTAAAGAAAATTATATGTTAGATGTCATGTGACCATTAACCAACATCAGAGAACCATGAGCATGTGAATGTGATGCTAAATCATTGAAATGCTAACATAAAATCACAAGTAAATATTTTACATCTAAGGTGGTTAGAGTAAATATGTGGACAGATGAATTTTTTTGTAATTCTATTATTATTCTACAGCTTCACTGAGTCACGACGGGGCAATGATGATGTTTGTGCAGCTCCAGGTAGCTTTGTTGCTCCCTCTTGGATTAGACACACACTTTCATGAAGTGAAGTTTTACATCACTAATACTGTTCAGAAGAGAGGAACAGGGTTCCTATACTTTTGATGTTAGAGTGAACAAGCATTAGGGGAAATAAAGCCTGTGGCCAGGTTTGTTCTTTTGCTTCATTATTTGGTTTTCTAAAGTGAACTCTGGTGGTGCAGATACATCAAGTGAGATTGTTGCAGGAAGTGCCGTGGGGCCTAAATAGGAATCTAGCCCGTGTACCATGTGCCCGCTGTTCACAGAGCATGGGCTATTTTGCATTGCTATCACTATAGCAACCCTTGCAGCCACTTGGGAGTTCTGGGGGAGGACTGTTATACTAATGGACTGAAAATAAATCTCAAAATAAAATGCGTTTGCAAACCTCACTTACTCGCTGGCTTGTAACACCGACGTACCACAAATCATATTTCCATAATGTTATCATGGCAGATATGGCTGTCTTTATGATAGGATTGAGTATTTTGGTCATATATGGGCACTTTAAATAATAGTGTCATGCATACGATATGCTTTTAAGTGTGTTTGTGTGTTTACAGTACAGCTCTTGACTCCTAAATGGAGGTAAACAATCAGGATAAAAAGGAAAGGAATTACACAATGGTTCATGGTAAAGCATCTGAATGAGTGTGGATGCGATGAATGGGGAGAAAAGGTTCAAACGGGGTGAAAGACAGAAAGAAGGAGAGGTGAAAGAGAGGAAATGCTCTGACTGGCTTGTGGTTCATCTTTCTGACAAGGTTCATCTTCCTCTGTGGCACACAGCTGCAAGGACGGTGTGATATATATGCTGTTCTCCTCCATCATCACACGTTATTTTCTGTTCCCTCATGCAGTAATCAGACTTTCTCTTATGTTTCATCTTTCATGCTCTCGTGTAGCATCTGTGTTTGTGAGGGGAGGAGTGAAAGGCAGAGGAGGCGGGGCTTAGGACTTTCTCACATCATGTTCTGGTCTACGTTTTTAGTCAGTTCTCATTTCTGTCAAATGAACATTTCTTCTTTCATTTCTTCACTTCATTCATTTGCTTTGTCCCTGTCTCCATGCCTATTCTGTTCTCTGTTCTAATATAGCTGGAAAAAAAAGAAAAAAAAGAAAAGAAAGAAAATTCTCTCATTATCATCATCCGAATGTTGTTCCAAGCAATAACCAATTAATTACAACAAAATCTGTAGTGATAGCTTTAATTATGCTGAACCCTTAATTACAAAAAATGACTTGCAGTTCAGTAAGGGAGTCATTTGTGGACTCAGTAACGGCTGTGAACAATCCATTGAGTCTTATTCAAAGTGATAGGAGTGGGTCCGGGTCTGTTTCATGAATCTTTTTGTTCGACTCATTATAGAGAATGAGTTCATAATTTGTGTCATCATTTAGCAAATTTGAGAAAATAAGATTGGATGAAATGGCTGCACAAAAAACTAAACAAAAAAAAAACGTATTTTTAACTTAAATTAAAGGTAATGATGTGCAAAAATATGCAAACACATTGTAGGGGATATATGGATGGTAAGCGAAATAACTCAAAATATTCAACAAATAAATAAGTGAATTAACTATAAGCTTGTATTGCATAAAACCGTTAGTCTTCATAAGGATCCAATAGACATTACACACAAGGTGAAGGTGAATTTGTGCAGCACTGTTTTAGGGGCTGTAAGATACAATTTTTCCCCTTTTTTTTTTTTACTGAACTGACAGAGACTGGATGCAAAAATACAGTGCACTATTAGCAAGCAAACACTCTTCGTGAAATTGAGTCTCTCTGTTATTTGCCAGTTGCATCTTGCTTTAAATGCACCACTGCTAAAATACTGAAGTCAGTTGACCTCTGTAATCGTCTGCAGTTGTTGGACGACTATTCGTTTAATCAACCATCCTGCTCTACTACTCAGAGGAATGTGAAATTGTAATGTTAACGGTAAAAGTCTGTTATGATACAAACATAATAAATAATAATAATAATAATTACATTTATATAGCGCTTTTCTAAGCACTCAAAGTGCTTTACATTGTGACGGGGGGATCTCCTCTTCCACCACCAGTGTGCAGTATCCACCTGGATGATGCGACGGCAGCCATAGTGCACCAGAACGCCCACAACACACCAGCTTATTGGTGGAGAGGGGACAGAGTGATGAAGCCGATCATTATATGGGAATGATTAGGAGGCCATGATGGTCAGAGGGCAATGGGCAAATTTGGCCAGGATGCCAAGGTCACACCTCTACTCTTTTCGAAAGACATCCTGGTATTTTTAATGACCACAGAGAGTCAGGACCTTGGTTTAACGTCTCATCCAAAGAAGGACGGTGCTTTTTTGACTGTATAGTGTCCCCGTCACTATACTGGGGTGCTAGGACCCACACAGACCACAGGGTGAGCACCCCCTGCTGGATGAGAGCTGGAGAGTAATAGTTGCATGTTAATTGGTAAACAATTCCCTTAGTCTATGCAGCAAAAAACTTTAAGATCTAATGGGATATTTCATGTAATTTTACAGTAAAATACTGTTAAATGTACTGTTTTTTTAAAGTGAAAAAGAACAAATCACCTTTTAATTTACGGTGAAAAACTATAAATTGACATTTCCAGAATTCTCTGTCTGACGGCTCACATTTGATGAGTTTTCCTTGAAATAATTGTGTTTATTCTTATTTTTTTTCTGATCACTGTCCATTACGGCCTTATGTTACATTGCATGTGGTTAAATTAATGTTTATTGCATTATTTTATTGTCAAATGTGTTACCATACCGGTCTTTTGTATTTCTGTGTATGATACCATGCATCTTCTATACAACAGGGGCGGTTTCTCCATTAGGGCGATTGGGCGACGCACCACCTGGCGGGAAGTCGTATAAACGGGGATTTCCGAGGACGGGGTATGAGCGGAAAAAATGGCTAGCGGGCTTCTTCTTCTTCTGATGCAACCACAGTGTTACGCTAGCTTTCAATGTTTGTTCTGCCTCTAAATAGTCCAATCAGCGTTGAGTCACGTTTTGTGTAGTACCGCCCCTTTTTGGGCGATTTCTGTCAGACTGAGAATCGCCCCGAATGCTCTCATAGACTTCCATGCAAAGATCAGTTTTTTCGAACTGCAGGCACTGCAATGCAATCTCTATGAGTTCCGGGAGGGCTAGCACTAACGTGCTTTCGTCATCATGCGTAACCTTAACTTGTGCAAGGATTGGTGGGAACAGTGACATCCAATAATATTTAAAAACTATTTTGAATTTGAACAACAAGAAAAAATGAAAAACTACTTTAATATTTTTATCAAATGTGAAAAAATAAGAAAAAAAAACGAGAAAAAAAAACAGAGAGACGGGGACAGCTATGCCAACTCAAATTCAGTTGTCAGTTGAACTTGATCGACATCTTGGCGAACGTTACCTCAGCGCAGATGAATTCTATCGTGTCATTGAAAGAAATACCATTCAGTCGTATAATCATGCAAACATTTGCCCCCCCTGAGAGAATTAGCTGGAGCCGCCACTGCTATACATTAGTATTTACCGTGATGAACTTTGATTCTTCATGTGGTTTTCTCTTTACCACCTGTTTTTAATGTGGTTGTCAGTAAAAGTAAATGTCTGATTTTTGTAGTGTGTTACAAAAAAAAAATTGTGTACTGTATTAATGTTTCAGTTTTTTTTTTACTGTAAATTCAATCTGTAAAATGGTGCTACTATAATTTTTTTATGGGAAAGTTCTGGAAAAACAAAAAGGCCCTTTTCTCACTGACTAGCCAAAGTCTCAGTTTGTTTCCCATTTAATCTCATGGCTGGTACAGCAAACAGCTGGGATATTAGAGAGCTCATTTGTGGTTTTTCATTCCTACGAGGAGAGCTGATTACACACTCGTCTAGTCATCTGTATTCTACCGCTTTGCTGTGTAGTTTGTGTTTACATGCAGTGTGGGTTGGTGGATTGCCATGCTGATAGACTCTCAGCAGCTTGTGCAGGTGTTTTTCACACTTTCGTTCTTGTCCCCTCTTTCTCAGGTTCCATCATTAATGATGGACGCCCAGTTTTCAGAGTTCACACCTGACATCACTCCCATAATGCTCGCCGCCCACACAAACAACTATGAGATCATCAAACTCCTGGTCCAACGCAAGGTCACCATTCCTCGGCCGCACCAGATACGCTGTGATTGTGTGGAGTGTGTGTCCAGCTCTGAGGTGGACAGCTTGCGTCACTCCCGGTCCCGTCTCAACATCTATAAAGCACTCGCCAGCCCCTCTCTCATTGCCCTCTCCAGTGAGGATCCCATCTTAACCGCCTTCAGACTGGGCTGGGAACTGAAGGAGCTCAGTAAAGTGGAGAACGAGTTTCGACAAGAGTATGAGGAGCTTTCTCAGCAGTGTAAGCTCTTTGCAAAAGACCTGCTGGACCAGGCACGTAGCTCCCGTGAGCTGGAGACCATCCTCAATCACCGTGATGACCAGAGCGAGGAGCTGGACCCGCGAGAGTGCCGAGACTTGGCCAAACTCAAGCTGGCCATTAAATATCACCAGAAAGAGGTGAGGATGCTTCTAATAGCTACTTGAAAAACTGGTTGCTGGTCATTTCTACTCAGTATAACGTTGAACATACAATGAATTTGATGTGCATGAGATTCTGTAGCGTGATGCTTTTGGAGAAAGTTTGTATCACTGAGCATTTGGCTCTTTTTTTGCAGTTGTATCACAGATTTCCCTTCAATAATCTTGGACATACATTACTTCTGGTTGTTATGGCTTCAGCAAAGGCAGCAATGAAACCTTTATTTCATGATTATGATTGAATCTCAAGAAAACGTCCAAAAGTCTCGCCCCAAAACCAAAACAATAATAAGAAAAAAATAGTTAGCAAAATATAATGAAACCTTATTTATTTATTTATTTATTAAGTTTTTCCTTAATTCCCATAATACATTTTTGTTTTAATTAAAATCAGCATAAATAAAATAGATACAAAAATTCTACAGTGTAGTATAAATACTATTATTTCATTGATTTATTTTATATTAATACAGGCATTTATTTAAATTACAATTAACTTAAGTTGTTATGTATGAAATGTAATTTAAATAATGTATTATTTTTTCACATTACAGTAATGAGATTACTCATTGGGGATGTGCTGAATTATCATGAAAATAATGTCCACAATGTTAGTTTTTAATTTTAGTCGTCCAAAAGTGAAATTTAAATAAAAAAATATTTTTTTCTAATTTTGGGGTGAAATATGACATATTTTTGACAGGTTTTTTTGTGAGGTGTATCCAAATACACCATGAAAAGTACTTCTTGTACTTTATACATTTGTAATTTATACATTTTTGTGGTATAAATATGCAGTATCAATGCATCAAATTTGCTTCACCAACCCAAAATTTTGCTTGAGCAGTTAAAAAATGCTCAGTGTAGAAAACACTAGGGTGCAGAGAGGAAGTTTATGTTTGAATTTCTTTGTGTTGCAGAAGTCCAATCACTTTTTTTGCAGTTTAGTAATATTCTGCAGACCCTTGGTATGTTTAAGAATGTGTTGTTCTTTGCCTAAAGCAATAGACAAAGTGCCTTTCTAGCTTTCTCTCTGAACTTTCTGATCCAAAGGGGGATACAATGTGTGCTGGAGACCAGAGGCTTGATGAGGTTAGAAAGACAGGAGATAGAGACAGTGATAAAAAAGCTTTAGGCAGATGAAAGACAGTTGCTCTGTTCCAAAACCTTGTGAGTTGCCACATTGTGTACTGCCTATAGGCAGCTAGCTTCTAATTCAGCATCCAAATAGTCTGGGAAGTGATTTGAAACTAAACTATCAATGCTTCAAATAAATAGTACTTTGCAACTGAGGCTTGACATAAAAATGACTTCAAATGACATGATACTCTAATAAGCATATAAATACAACAAACAAATATTAGGTTAAATAATCCATTTTTAATTATACTGAACCATTTTATAGATAGTTTTCAAGTACTGAGTGAAATATACAGTTATTTACAGTATAATCTAAATTTCTGCCATCTGCCATCTTGGATTATTTTTGCACTGAACTTGTTGCAGTGCATTATGGAATTGCATTCTCCACAAAGATACATGATGCTACCTTTGAATTTGGCCAAAAGAAGGCAGCAAAATTAGATTTTAAAGACTAACCTTTTGGAACAGCGTTCATACACGCCTTAAAATGCCACTTCCGTAGGAAGATCACTAGGTTTTGGAAAAAAAGCAAGGGGAGTGATGTGCTAGAATGTGCTAGGTAGGTCGGGGGGTGGGGGTTATTTTCTGTAGCTGAACATATGCTGGTGTTTGTAGTGCTGTGTTTGAGAGAATCTTAAGTAGCTTATATATATATTTTACATCTAGCATTTGAATTGAATTTCTTTCAACATTTTGATTATTTTGCCTCTGCTGGTCATCATAATACGATAATTTAAAGTCAAATCAGTATCAGTGTCCAATTATGTGTTTCTTTTGGCCATTCTGTGTGTAATAAGTGGGATAATTGTCAGTTCATTTTGTCTTAATGACTGGTTTGCCGTATTACTGTTTACTGTTACTTGACATGCTCCTAAAACCTAAAACACCAACAAGCTCTATAGTTCAAAAGTTTTGGGTCAGGAAGATTTTTTTTTTTTTTTTAACAAATGTACTTATTTAAAATATATTAAATAGACATTTACATTGTTACAGAAAAAAATATATAGATTTAAAAAAATATTTTCAACATTCTATTCATCAAAAATCCTGAAGAATGTAGCAGCACAACTTAAGCATTGATAATAAGAATAAATGTTTCTTGAGCACCAAATCAGCCAATTAGAATGATTTCTGAAGGATCATGTGACACTGAAGACTGGAGTAATGAGGCTTAAAATGCAGCTTTGCATCACAGCAATAAAATATATTTTTAAATATATTAAAATACAAAGCGATTAATTTAATTTGTAATATATTTCACAATATTACTGTTTAAGCTTTATTTATTTTTTAATGAATGCAGCTTTTGTGAGCATACGATACTCACAAAAAGAGACATTAAAAAATCTTACTAATCCTAAACTTTTGAACGATAGTGTACAAGTTGCAACATGTACGTTATTCAGTAAACAAACCAGCATATGGGTTACAATGGGACTAAAGTCATAAAAAGAAACATGTTAATCTAATACTTATATTAAAAGGTTATAAAGGTTTTCAATCAAATAATATTGAAAGTATTGAAGTATCAGCCATTCGTCCAAAATAAGGATAAAAACATTTTGATGGTGCATGGGAAACCACCTTGAGTTACTTTCCTTGATTTACACACTTCCACGTACAGTAAATCAATTTTAAAACTGTCTTTGGCATTCCAGGGAGATTTCAGTGATCTTTTTCATTCTGAAACACAAACTGTTTCGTTGCAGAACTGACACATGTTCCAAACTGAGGATTTGAGAGCCTGGTGTCAATATGTCTCGTTTCTCTTCCTGTCAGTCAGAGGTGATACTGGCCCTGGCCTGCGAGACTGCTCCTCCAATTAGCTCTTATTGTTTTGTGTGCCTCAAGGAAAGCTGCTGTGAATACAGATCACAATGCTGTACGCATAAACACACAGTGAAGATGGTCAAGACAGATGTGGGGCTCTGAGCCAAGAGATGCTATACAATTGAAAAAGAGAGATGAAGACTATTATGAGCCCATTTAGTGCGCCATTATATTTGTAGTGATTAAAGTTTTATAGAATGAGATTAAATATTGAGAAAAGCTTACCTGCGTTATACTCAAGATTCCGTGCAGTAATTTGTCTTTATTTAATATTAAATGAGTCCGAGATGATGGTGTAATACTAACAGGGTTGAAAGGGCAAGGAGAGTGCAGAGAATCAAATACATTTGGAATAAAGCCACACAGGCTTGCTTGAAACTAGTGCTGGGCGGTATGACCCAAAATGTATATCACGGTATTTTTCAAAATTATACCGGTTTCACGGTACATGACAGTATTTTTTTTTTCATGCATGACCGGGTGTTAAAGGTGCAATAGGAGATCTTGGATCCTCGCTCTGTCTGCACAGCGTGCGTGAACGCGCTGATGACTATCCTGTCTGCACGAACTGGGTGCGCAGAGGTTTGCTAATACATACGTTGACATGCAGGTAGGAAAGCATATTAAAACGCTCAGACCGAGCATAACAAAAAATGTTTCTGAAGACAATCACCTATTGCACCTTTAACCATATTTTCTACTGATTGAGAAAGGAAATACTGCAGTATATTGACTTAGAATGCCCTATTTTACTGTCATGATGAGAGAATATTGTCAAAAAATACCACACTAAATAGTGACTAAACACGACCCCTTTTAATACATGTTAACCAGGAGTCACT